GTCACTTTCTGTTGTTAGAGGCACCTGAAGCAGAACTTGTTATAGCAGTGTGAGTTTTTTTCACTGGGGTTAAATCCATATAAGTGGAACAAGTAGTTTAGTAGAATGCACGTGTAAAATATTAAGCTGTTAAATAGAAGATTCACTATTTTTTTTAGCTGAATCGATTCATTTACACAGTTTAAAAGAAATGTTGTCACCTCATGTGATAATAGATTTTCCCTGACGTGWGCAGGTTTTTTATTTTGTTGATTACGAGTCAAGATTAGGAGCAGAAACCCGAATCTAGATCCATGAAGATTACTTATTCTCAGAGAAATTACAGCGGGAGTTGCAGCAATAATTCTGATAAATAAGTAGTGGAATTRTACAAAATAAAGTACCTGAGGAGCRACTCTATCACACAAACCTCATAACAATTGAACTGAGGAAGACTAAGATCCCTGTTGACTTCACTGCACTGAAAATAAACTAAACTGACCCATGAAGTGACTGACAACTGACAGAAAAGGAAAAAGCAGTCCGTTTATTATGGGTTCAAATGTGTGATGTGTAATACATCTCAGTGTTGGAGGTTTATTCTGACTCTGAGTTAATTATTTAACATTGACTGAAGAGGTCCAAATGATTTGTGCTCACTGAAATCTTGCATTGAGTGACTTACACTTTAGTTTATCACACAACCATTAACTTATTAACTCTAAACAACAATGCATTTTAATCTGGAACCACTGTGGAGCAAGTATTGWTGATACCAACTAAACATTTTGAGATGTGGTGGTTAGTAGAGCAGAAACCAGTCACATGGGTGAAAAACAGTGAGGACGTGATTCCATATTCCTGGTGTGGACAAGACCATGTAGGTTTAAGAGATTTAGTCACTTTGCTAGTTTTTGACAAGTGTATTTTCATATTTTAGGCCATATTACTGTGTTTATTGTCTTATTGGTGGTACTCTGAAGTGGTGCTCAGAGTGACCTCTAACTCAGTGTTTTCCAAAGGGGTCGGGACCCAAAGTGGGGTCCTGAAACATCAAGGTGGGGTCCTGAAAAGATTTTCTGAATTAATTACATTTTTGCCTTAGTTGTTACAAAGGAGTGAGGTTAGTGTATTTAAAATGGATAAATGTAGTATAAAATATTGTTTAGTTGACCTGATACAAATGTTTATCATCCATAAATAGTTGGGGGCTCAGGTCTCTGTTACTGTTATTTTGTGGGTCAAAAGCTGAAAAGTTTGGGAACCACTGCACTTTGGTTCCCAAATTTGGTCTTGGGACCCAATTATGGGTCATAAAGCACCTTGGATAATCTCCAGAAACCAATTTAAAGGGTAATAAAATAATTGCTGATGTAATATTTTCCCTATAATTATTACACAAACACAAAATAAGTAAAAATAAGTATTTATATTTGTGTATAAGYTGCTTAGATTGTCTAAAAACCTGTGTTTTTAGGGTTATTAACGAATTTCATGTACTCAGACCAGTAATATTTGGGGTCAGAAGTTTTTGCCATGGATATTTTGTGGGTCAGAAGACAAAAAGTTTGGGAACCACTGCTCTAACTGACAGCATTGTGAGTTCACTAAGCTCTACAGAACRTAAAGCGTCTGCACTGACTGGGCCAGCTTCAAGGTTCTGGTCAGACCTGTCATTTCAAACCTTCTTAAAATTCAAGAAAAGTTTAAAACCAACATCAACCTCTGAGAGCAAGAGGAATGATGAACATTTAGAATATTTTTCCAAGACATGACCCATTCTACAAAAGACAGGATGAGAATTGTTTGAAATGTTTCATTTTATTTAAATTCAACATTATAAAAATAATAAAGGAAAGACTTTCATAGATTTAAATGTAATCAAGAATAACAAGCAAATTGCATAAAAAACAGGAAACTCAGTTGGTTAAAGTCCAAAAAGTCCTCTGGGAAACATCTTTCTTTTATGTTAGCATGTATCTTTCATCCACACTCAACATGTTAAACAAACTATCATATTCAAATAGATTTGGAGGTGGTTGGTGGTGGTGATATGATTGTGTCTAAATCTGAAAAAGAGAAAAAAAACATCCAGAACTGGACTTGATAACCAGAGCCCCTGTTCCTCTCTCCTCTCAGGCTCTATGACGCGACAAGAGTTCCCCTCGACACTCTTGCACTATGGAGAGCACTGATGACCCCCTGACAGACAGCCAAACCCCACCTACCAACCCCACCACCAACACAGCAGCTCCAACCCAAACCCTGGTGCCACAAAGCCAGGACGCAACACAAGCAGCTACCGACCACCATGAGCCTCCGCCAGGCAGCAAGGTACAACAAAACCCGAGTCTAAACCTTCCAGGAAATGTTCTTACAGGGAAACTCGTTTTGAGTTTTTAAAGGAAGATTAGCTTCAGTCTTATTGATGCTTTACAATCTGCTAAAAATAATCAGAAAATGCAAACGCTATCCTTCAGCTTTAGCAGAAAACTCAACAATTCAAAGAAGCTGTCACACACTTGGTTGATACCTGTGTGTGGAGTATTCATGTTTCCATAAGCTCCCAATTCCCCTCGTGTCTGYTTATCCACAAACAATCTGTGTGCACCAAAACCAATAAAAACACCATCGTTTTATGTTTTCCCCTTGCTTTTACTCAGGTTTTATTGGCATGCCTTATATTTTGTCTTTAAAGTACTGTGTCAGATAGCATCTGTGCACACAGACAAAACAAGGCGCCAGACACACTCCCATACTAATACATGACTGGGAAACAGAGAGTAGCCATGTAGTAAATTTAATGTGCAATGCAATAAAATGGATGAGGCCAAAGCCATAAAGATAGCCRCTATTATAGAGTTTTTGAAAAGCAGGCTCTTCTTGTTGGTCAGTACGGTCAGCGTTTATAGCTCCTGTSGAGGAAAGATCCGATCCTGCTGCTTTCCAGGTCCCGACAGTGAGTCTGCAGGAGACATGCTGGCCAGCATTCATGTTGGGAGCATGGAAAAAGTGTTTAAAGAAAGAAACAAAGTTGGATTTAAGCATCAGCTGCCCAGCAGAGGCATCATTTTCACAGATGGGATCAGGAGTTCACATGTATATATATTTAAACTTTCATTCTATATCASATAAGTTTGGCTCGTTTTTAAACTGAGTGCACAAGTTTGAAGTTATTTTAAATTTTCCCAAATCCAAACATCGTGGTGTTGGGTCAAACATACAGTTGTTGATTTGAGGTCAAGTTGACACATTTCAATGTTTTCCTCGTCCTTGTGGACCACTGGCAGCTTCAGAGCATGATGCTACCACCTCCATGCCTGACAGCTGGTACAGGTTTAGTTTGTTCACATTGTGTCCTTGCAGGGACACAGTATGACATGTTGGCTATTTGTTTTTCTAATGCARAGGCAGCACCTTTGCATTCAAAAAGCCTCACCTCATTTCTTCTGTCATCGTGGCTATTTTCTCTCAGCCCATGACAAAGTAAAATGTCTGTATCAGTAGCTGCATTTTCTTTGCAAATGTGCGCAAAACTTTGTCGATATTCTGTTAATGTCGAAAAACACAGTTTCGCAATTGCGGTGTTTCAATGAAGTAAGTCACGCGTGAATACGTTTGTTCTCATGATAAGTCATTACAAACATGGTGGCGATGGATGTAAACACATAGCA